AGGATTGACATTTACAGGGCTAAACAGTAAATATTTCTAGCTTTGGTTTTCATGTAATAGCTGTTGTAATAAATGAGAATGACTGTTTCCTTTAAAACTTTACTTACAAAGATAGCCAATCATTTATAGTTTACTAAAAGACAGTGTATGTGTATATTCTAACACTTTGCTGTATTTTGAGTTAGGCATTGTACTATACGTAGTAGTTTGTAATTTATTTGTTTTTATTTAATTTCTGTGGATATATTTCCATGGTATTACACGTAGGTTGTGCTCTGAATGAGTAATAATTTCCTTTCAATACTATGCTTTTCTTTTACTTAGTCTGTAATGATGAGTAATTTGATGCTAACCTTTTTGTGTGTTTTATTCAGTGCTGTAACTGTTAGGGAAATTGAATTTATAATTTAAAATCTACTCCTCTGACACACACATGCCAAAATCACTAGGCTCAGATGATTTTGTTGAAGAATTCTATCAGAAATTTAAAGAATTAACATAATTCTATGCAGTGTCTTCCAGAAAATAGGAGGGAACCTTCTCAGTTCACGATACCAAATCAAAAACAATGTAAGAAATAAAAAACTGTAGTATTTTTGCTGAATATGGATGACAAACTCAGTAAGAAAATATTAAATAGAATTTAACATTTTAAAAGTATCAACAAATAAAAGTTAACAAGAAATGATGTTAATATTTAACAACATTTTAAAAGCTGGGTCTGGTGGTACTGTCTTGGTTACTTTTCTTTCATTGCTGAGACAGAATACTTGACGCTCAAAATTAAAGAATGAAAGGTTTATTTAACTCTCTGTTTTTGTTTTTGTTTTTGTTTTTTTGGCAAGACAGGGTTGCGCTATGCAGTTCAGGCTGGCATAGAGCTCACTTTGTAGCCCAGGCTGGTCTCGAACTCGCAGCAATCCAAACAATATTTAGCTTGTGGAGGTTTCAGTCCATACTTGGCTGGCTCCATTTCAGTGGGCAACAGTTCATGGTGGCAGGAAACAGCAAAAGCAACAAGAGCAAAAGAGCAGCAGCAAGCCTCTTTCCCTCATATTGTATGCAGGCTACCCACTCTCCTATACCCAGTGCAGGGTGGGGGTAGTACTCACACTCATAATCCCAGCACTCACAC